GGGGGGGGCTTTCCACTTGTCCCACAATAAGTACAACGGAGGTCAAATGCTAGCGAGGAAATTTGCCTTCTCTGTGTCCACATAAAGATACGGATTTATTTTATTTTTAAGTTTTTAAAATCCAAACATTTTCAAATTCTTGCCCTCTGTGTGTGTGTATGCGCAGGGGAAGGGGAAAAGGGAAGGAAACCAAATATCCCCTTTCTCTCCAAGGCCTAGCCTAGAGCACATAAAGAAGAAAATTTCACTCTTTTTAATCCACATATTGTCACTGTCACACTCTTTTTAAATCCAAACATTGTCACATTCTTGCCCTGTATGTGTCCAAGGGAGAGGAAAAGAGACCAAATCCTTCTCGTTCTTCCCCAAGGCCTAGCCTACATAAAGAAGACATTTTCACTCTTTTTATTCCAAACATTGCCACATTCCTGCCGTGTGTGTGTGTGTGTTCAAGGGAAGGGGAAAAGGAAAACAGAAAGAGACCAAATCCTCCCCTTTCTCTACGAGGCCTAGCCTAGAGCACATAAAAAAGACATTTTCACTCTCCTTAAATCCAAACATTGTCACATTCTTGCCCTGTGTGGGAAGGGGAAGGGGAAGGGGGGAAAAACGGAAAGAGACCAAATCCCCCCCCCTCCTTTCTTTCTTTCTTTGCTAAGGCCTCGCCTAGAGCTCATGCCGGCCTTTCTTTATAACCAGCGGCGCTTCTTTCTCCTTCCTTCGGGCCTTTCCCCGCAGAGAGGCCGCACAAAATCGGGGAGAAGAAGCGGGGAAGAGGAAGAGGGAGGCGGCGGCAGCGGCGACGCCATTACGCGCAGGCCTGGCCCTTCCCACACAGGGTAAGCCAGTCTAAGCGGCCCTTCGACGGGGAAAAGAGCCGCCGAGGCTGAGTTATTACGCGCCTCTCAGTGTCCTTCCTCAGCCCCGAGGCCCGAAAAAAAAAGCGGCCTCCTCGTCTCTTACCTTCGTGAGTCTTGGCGATCTTCGCCATTTTGTCGAGCTCGAAACAAGCGCAGCGAGCGAGATGGAGGGGGGGCGGGCGCGCGCGCGGAGCTCGTTCTCTTGACGTCAACTTCCGCTTTCTCTCTCCAGGAACAACAGCCGGGCGGAAATAAAAAAATTAATCACACACTGCGCAGGCGCAACATGGCGGCCTGAGGGAATGTGGTTGGAACCATAGAGATAGGGAGAAGGAGCGCCCGCTGCTCGTCCCTTTATGAGCGGACTGAGTACAGTAATTCCAAGCGCTGCACTGCGCAGGCGCCTGGGTGCTTCCTCAGGAGGAAGCCCCACTTCTTTATGTTGATGTATAGAGAGTTCTTGCAGCCCCTTTGAGACTCAGTCGGCTATATCTTCGAATTCTTTATGTTGATGTTTTTCAGACTTATGGTGACCCTAAGGCAGGGGTAGGCAACCTTTCCCCTTTAAGGGCCGAGGGACTTCAGCTCCCAGAAGCCTCAGCCATGTTGGCCAATAGTCCCATGTTGGCCAATAGCTCCTGGGATTCTGGGAACTGAAGTCCCTCGGTCCTTAAAGGGGAAAGGTTGCCTACCCCTGACCTAAGGCAACCCTATCATGGAGGTTTTCTTGGCAAGATTTGTTCAGAGCAGGGGTAGGCAACCTTTCTCCTTTAAGGGCGGAGGGACTTCAGCTCCCAGAATCCCAGGAGCTATTGGCCAACATGGGACTATTGGCCAACATGGCTGAGGCTTCTGGGAGCTGAAGTCCCTCAGCCCTTAAAGGGGAAAGGTTGCCTACCCCTGGTTCAGAGAGAGTTTGCCATGGCCTTCCTC